AAAAGAGCTATTTTCAGTTTCATTTTCTTACCTGCTCCCCCACTCCTCAAGCTTCTCTCCCTAACATTACCTTTGAACTGTCCTTATGAAGATCATTAATGACACTCCTTTGCAAAACCCAATGCACAAATTTTAGACTTTACTTATTTGGCCCTTTGACAACCAGGGACACTACTGATCAATCCCTAGTAACACTCCTTCCTTCCTAGTCCATGACAGCATTCTCTCCTGTTCCCTTCTTTTTCTGGCCACAATTTCTCAGTCTCCTTCTACAAGTCCCTTACATATTGGTGGGCTTCAGGGTTCTGGACTTAGCTCTTTGCTTTTCTTACATACTCTCCCTGTTTTTGTTGTCATGTGCCCTCAAGTTGGACCCGACTCACAGCGACCCCTCCTTGGGTTTCTGAGGCGGTATCACCATGGAAGTAGATTGCCCAACTTTCCTTCCAAGGAGTGGTTGGTGGGTTTGAACTGCTAGCCTTCTGGTTAGCAGTCAAGTGCCTTAGGCACTATGCTACCAGAGCTCCTACATACTCTCCTTAGGCAAGTTTATCTATTTCCAACCAGGTATTTCTAACTATATGCTAATGACTCCCAAATCTGTATTTACAGTCTCTCTTCAGCTTTTGCTTTATACATCAAACAGCCTGTTGGACATTTCCTCTGGGATGTCCCACAGGTATCTCCAGTACAGTAAGTCTATAATTGAGCTCCTTATTTTCCCATCCAAGCCTGTTGTTCCCTATCTTAATGGTATTGTCATTCACCTCGTTGCCCAAATCAAATTCTTTCTACAGGAAAGCTTCTCCAATTTAGTCACACAGAATGTCCACAGATTAAAATATAGTTCCACTCAACTTTCACTCTTTCACCTTCATTCCCAACATCCAACCAATCTGCAGGTCCTTTGGATTTTATTCCACTCATGCCTCTTGACTCCAACCATATCTCTCCATCCCCACTACCACCCCATCCAGGCCTCCCTAATTTCTTATCTAGATGTTCAGAAACTTCCTAGCAGGGTTTCCTTCCTTTGTGTTTCCTTCTCTTCAACCCTTTTCTCACATGTCAGATTTTTCTAAAATACAAATCTGCATATGTCATTCCTCCACTCAAAACCCTTCAATAACAACCACCTATTATCCTTAGCATAAAGACCAAGCTCTTAGATTTCGTAAAAGACTAAAGCCACCCTCCTGCTGGAATACAATAGATCCTGGATAGAAGCCACTTCCCTTCCCCCTCAAAAAGTGAGCAGAGGCTAGAGGGTAGGCTCAGAGAGGGGTGGGTTTATGCTAAAGTTGATGCCAATAGTAATGAGGCTGAAATACTTAGCCTTGAGCCAGTGGTTAAGATGAGAGAACTAATCATGGCACTCTTATACTAAGCTGGGACCAGTGAGAGGTGTGCTCAAGTATTCCAGGTCAGAGGTGACCCCTGCTACTGGCAGAAACAAAAGAAGAAACAAATTCTCTCTACAGAGAACCTTCTCCAATTTAGTCTCACAGAATGACCACAGCTAACATCAAATAATGAGCTCACAATTAAAAATCAACAAGCATATGGGAAGGCAAGCACTCCAAGAGTGGGCAGAAACAACAAACAACAGACTTAGACCTCCAAAGATTACAAATACTAGAATCATCAGATGAAGAACACTGAACAGCTATGTATTAAGGGTTTAAATAAGGGTTTCACAAGAATGTGAAAATAACATTAAAAAAAAAAAAAGACTGAAGAGAAAAAAAGGAAATTTCTAAAATCGAAAAATGGAGCTCTCGAAATAAAAAACTCAATGAATGGGTTAAACAGCAAATTAAACTCTGAATTTAGGTAATTTATCAGATGAATATGCTGATCAGAGAATACATGACTTGGAAAAGATACACTGGAATAAATTATCCAGAATTCTTTGAGACAGGAGATAAAATGTATGACAGACAAACCAAGGGATATGGAAGACAAAAGATCTAATGTACTTCTAATCACAGAATCTTAGGAGGGAATGGAGAAAATGAAAAGAGGCCCTTTTAAAGATAATGGCTGTAAATTTTCTACAAATGAACATGAATTTGCAGGTCCAGGAAGCATAATATATCTAAAGGAGCTCTGATGGCACTGTGCCTCAGGCATCTGACTGGTAATCAGGAGGTTGGCAGTTCAAACCCACCAACATATCTAGGATAAATAAAAAGAAATCCATGTCAGTCTATAAAGATAGCCTCCAATGAACCTCACCATCTCCTGGTACTCACAGCCTGTGTAGCTGCTTCCCATATTGTATCAGGCTGATTTGTGTGACCAAAAGAATACAAGAGAAGTGATGACATGTCACTTCTGAGATTAAGTTATAAAAGACACTATCTCTCATAGTGTTCTTTTATAGGGTTCCACCTTGGCTGTTCTCTTGCTTTCTTGCCCTCTCTTGGATCACTTGCTCTGGGGAAAGCCAGCTGCCATATCATGATCAGTCCTAAGGAGAGGCCTATATGACAAGAAGCTTACGCCTCCTGCCAGTAATGCATGAGTGAGCCTTTTAGAAGCAAATTCTCAAGTCCTGGTCAAGTCATCAGATGACCACAGCCCCAATCTCATAAAAGACCCTGAGCCAGAACCACCAAGATAATCTGCTCCCAATTCCTAACCCTAATAAATATTGTCTTAAGCTGCTAAATTTGGGGATAATTTGTTATGCAGCAATAGATAATCAATACATATGCCAAGACTAAACAGCTCTGAGCAGTTTACAAAAGGCTGTCGTCTGCCCCAGCCTGCCTCTCCAGCCTTATTTCTTGCCACACACACTCTCTCTAGTCTACTACATTTCAAACACATCAAACTTATTTTAGTTTCCCAAACGTACCACATTCTCTCCCACCTCCAGCCCTCTGTATGTGTTCACATGATACTCCCCCTGCCTGACACATTCTTCAATATCCTGTCCCCTCCTCCCAACATACGCACTCATATGGCTAACTTCTCTCCACATCACCAGAAAACTTATTGCACTATATGATGAAAGTTTTGAAATTGTCTCTTCATTAGACTGTAGGCTCCAGAAAGACGGGAATAATATCTGCATCCTTCATTATTATGCCAGCACAGTTCCTAGCACAAAGAAGGCACTCAGTAAATATTTGTCTCTTGCAACCCACAGGATAGGGACAGGCAGGAAGGCTAAAGGTTGATGAATGTAAATACTCTCAGGCAATGAGCCAATTGAAATCTTTAGCATAGCAACTGATATAACTAACTATAAAGGAATCAAGAAATCCCTACATTCCATACAATCTCATATTTAGGGAAGGCTTAAGGTAGAGTCAAGACCAAAACTTGGATAGTTTCCAGCTACTCCTAAGTCAAGTCCCCTTGCTGTGGTTTCATTATGATGCTTGAATTGAAATCTCCAAACATCAGACACACCCATTCTTGAAAGCATACTCACAACTGTACTGAAAGGCCAAATAGAAATGAGTTTTTTAAAAAATATTATCTGTTTGCATTCGTACACAATTCCAGCTTATTATGTTGTTATTGTTGTTATTTTAGATCTGATCATAAATGGTATTTGTCATGTGTGCCTAAAGATGAACATATACACACATCTATGTACATATATACATATCATAAAATATTAATCACTAGTACCCTCTACTGGTTGAGATAACTTATCTGCTCATATGAATGGTCTTATTGCCCTCTAGTGACCATAACCTATAAAGCCAGAAAATCCAACAGCAGATGGGAGAATCTCCTTGGCTACAATGATAGGGTTTTATGTTCTTTAAGCATCTAATTTTCTCAGATTCTGGTTTATATTACAGGGGTGCAACTCTCAAGACTCTTGGGGGGGGTCCTCCGGGGATTTCACACAGCTCTTCCCAGCTGTTAGTGCTAGTTTGAAGCTGTTCCCTCTCCTCCTTCTCATGAACAAGAGGTCAAGGGGAAGCAGAGAAGGCAATGGCTGCACTGGTGAGGGCAAGAACACCAGCTGTGAATGACTGCCCTGGACTCTCTGGGGAGTTGGGAGCAGCTTGAGAAACACATGTTGGCTCTCCCTTGCATATTATTCACAGTTGTGTACTGTACTAAGATGGCAATTCAATGTAGTCCCTAACTTACCGTTTAAATATGTCCAATGTTGTAATAAATGATGCAGCAACAAATGATGCTACCATTGTTTTGAGAAACCACACTTTCCAAGTTATTTCTACTCAAGACAAAAAAGCCGAATCTCTTTCAAGATTTAACTGAAATGCCCTCTCCTCTATGAAACCTTTTCTGAACTCTCTAGATTTAAGTAAGTGTTCTGTCCTTCATGCTAGCATATACCCTGTACCATTAGAATGGTACCCAGAACATTATTTATATGTTTTTGTTTATAACCTGTAACATTTTACTGCTCCCATTTGTCTCCATGCCTATCTCTTCCATCAAGCCATAAGTTCCCTGAGGTCAAAAAATACGTCAAATTTATTTCTGCATATTCAGCATCAAGCACAAGGCCTGTGAAATAGAACGGTGCTACCCAAAATGCTACCCATAGGTCACTGCCATTAGCAGCCTGTGAGGTATGTACAGAAATTGAGTTAGCACTTAGAAGCTTATATAGTGATTCGATGGAATAATTCTCTATCTGTTGAATTTAATAATTAAAAAACTGGGCTTGTATTTTCCATATTTTTATTTAATTTTTCCTAGTAATTTTTATTGTACATTATTGGCTTGCAACCAGTGTAGAATTTTTCAAACAACAGTCTTCACCACTGACAGCTTGAGAGGCACTGATAGAGCTGTTGTTGTTAGGTGCCATCGCGTCTGTTTTGACTCAAAATAACTTTATGTACAACAGAATGAAACACTGCCGGTCCTATACTAGTTTTTGTGAAATATCCTATCTACTGATATGGTAAATAAGGATAAATGTTTGAGCAAGGGAGGAAAGGAAAAAGGAAAGAGACAAAATGTAAACGTTTTCATAAAATTCAGAAGGAACATACCTATCCTTGTTGATTTTAATACTTCTCTAGAAGGTATTTTCTTCTTCAATTCTTGTAAGGCTTCAACTAGATTCTCTTTGGTTTGATCAGGGAGCTCCAACACAGTTTTCCATCTTTTTATGTCTTCTACAACCACAACTCTCTGGGAAAAAGAAAAGTCATTTGGAAAATAGAAATTTTCATTAGAAAGACATCTGCCTTCACCTGAGCTAATGGGGCTCCTATTGACATCTGAATTATTGATTATGACCTGAACCAAAGCACAGCATGTGTGATGGCCCCAAATGATGGGTAATTGCTTAAAAGCAGGTCCTGCTTACTGCAAATCAGGAAGAGAGTTGCATCTATTAGGAAAAGTGCAAGTTTTAATCTTACTGTGTCAGACACCACTGGGCACTTAGCAGTGAGAGGCTATAAGGATGAGAAAAAAAGGAAAATGATGCTGAGGTGAATCAATCCTACAGCTCACTTAAGAGTATCTTAATTCACAGGCAAGGAAAGAGAGCAGAGATGTCATAAATAGGTTTATTTCCACAATAAAAAGCACACTTCAACAGTCCCCCACTTCCCAGAGGATAATATTAAAACTCTCTCATTTGAAATGCTTAAAACTTTAAACACACAAAAGTGTACAGAGTAACCCATTGCTCATGATGGGAGGAAAGTTAACATTTTGCTATTTCACACAAAATAACAAAACATAAAGTTTGTCTCCTTTAAACCCTTTGCCAAACTCATTCCTCTCCTTCCCTTTCTAGATCTTAAAGTGGATATGCATCTTTTTCTCAAGTGTAAAATATCAGCAATTAAGGAACCTGGGTGAAAGGGATGGGAAAACTTTGAACTGTGTTACAACTTTTCTTTTTATATTGCAACATTTTATTGTTGTTTTCAGTGAAAGTTTACACAGCAAATTAGGTTCCCATTTAACAATTTCTATACAATTTGTTCAGTGACACTGGTTACTTTTTTCCACAGTATGTCAGATTTCTCATTATTTCTGTTCTGGTTGTTCTGTTTGGAGTAATCTAGTTTCCCTGCCCCCTTGCCTTCTAGTCTTTGCTTTTGAATAAGTGTTGACAGTTTGGTCTTATCTTAGATGATTTTTTAAAGGTGTACAGTACTCCAGGTGGTATTATTTTATGAGCTTATCTGTTACCGAGTTAGAAGATGAGCTCATGAAATAGTTTTAGTTCATGGTTTCAGGAATATCTCAGGGCAATTGTCTCTGGAAGTTCTTCATTCTCAACTGGTCCAATAAGTCTGGACTTCTTCAGAACTGAGTTCTGTTCCACATATTACTTCCATTCTATCAGGATCCATCAACTGTGTTCCTAATCAGAACAGTCGGTATTGGTAGCCGGATACCATCTTGTTCTTCTTGTCTCAGAAGACCAAAAAATGAGGTCGTAGTTTGTGTAGATTTCTCGTTCTTTGGATCTGTGTTACAATTTTCCATAGTTTTGAAATTATTTCAACCAAGAATTTGAAGAAGTAAAGTATGAGGCAAAAAATAAGGTTGTTTTCATAATTACAAAACAAAATCTTGTCTCAGTCTCTGAGACTATGGCCCTTAGTCACTGAACTGATCCCCATGGCTCAATTTTCAGTCAAACAATAGACAAGTCTACAAAATAAACAGTAACTTTAGGGAGGTATACACTCCTTAGAACAATCAAATATGCAAGATCAAAAGGATAGATTGGTGAGCAAGATGGCAGACTAGGCAGAAAGACTGCACAGACCCTCTTCAACAAAGAAAAGGGAAACGAATTAACACAGACACAGAAGATAATCCTGGACCCCTGAGCCTTGAAGGGAAGGATATAGAAGTGGACTAAACCCCAACTACCAAAAGAATTTGTGTGAAA